CCGGTTCTACAGAAAGTCACGCATCAAGCGCTTCTGGATTGAGTAACAGCGGCGTGAAGCTTCAACATGTCAGAGATTCCTGGAGATAAGAGCAGCTACTGCTGTGATAACATCAAATGCCTCAACCAAAAGCAAAAAGTTAGACATTTTAAAAACCTACTGTGTTCTAGTGAGCAAAAAAAAAAAAATTTAACTGTGAAAAAAAAACAAACATAATTATAAAACCGGCAGCAACTTTTACGTAACTTTATAAGAACAGGATCTTCTAAAAGAGCAGAAAAACAGCCAGGAGGTGTTTTGATCCTGAGTCTGGGCACCGATTCTACGGAGCTACATTGAGGCCGAATGGTTTGAACCAAGGAATGAAAAATTAAAACCAAGAAAAACAATCAAATTGAAAACAACCTTCCATCTGAACATTAGTTTCACACCTTTGGTTTTAGTATCAAATCTTTTTTACGATCCAGATATATCTGTACAGTTTCAATTTTTGTTTTTCAGTTTCAAAATAATTTAAATTCTCAAATGTCCCAGATTTACTCATCACTGTGAAATTTTAATGACAACGTAAAGAGAGAAGGAATTGTGAAGATGCTTCATTTGTAGCTTTTGCTCTTCTAACCTGGTTTTCAGTGCAGCGTTTCATCCTGCTCAGCTTTTCTGGCATTTTCTCACCATTTGGTGCAGGACACCCAAAATTCTGCCGGCAACTGTTTGGACAGCCCACTGGCAGCACAAGGGGGCCTTGGACTCAATTTCTTGATCCAGATTTATAAAAATGTAATTTAGATGAGTCATAATTGCGTTCTCAATATCTTGAATTGTAATTATGTGACACTTCAAATTACAAATCTGCTGATGTCATCCGAACAAATAGATGTTTTGACTCATCAAATTGAAGATGCACCCAATTATCAGTCAGGATAGTCAAAACTCAATTTCATTTTAACTATATAGTCAGAAGAAAATAATTACATGATAAATCGGCCTGCCATACACACAGGTTTTGCATTTTGGAGCTTCATAATGATGACATCATGAAATCTGCTTTTATAGAGACAAACCCCCTGAACTGTGTGTTTGTCTTTCTGCAACAATATGAACAATAAAATCAATAAAACCCGTTTGGTTTTCAAACTTCTGATCAAAACCCAGAGCTCTGTTTACAGCAAACACGAGTTCAACCTGAACGTATTTCCTAATAAAGCAGCAGCCGCTCCGGGCCGATTATGAACCGATAAAAGCAGATGAGTTGTTGTCGCTTCTCAGCACTGCCATCGCCTCCAGACACAGAGAGGAGGAGGAGGAGCCGTCAGCTGCCTCTTCGTCCCTGAATCGATGCTCTGTGAAGGCTGCTCTGCGCTCCGATAAGGCAACCAGAGAAACAAATTCACTGCATGGAAACCAATTATCAGCTGATGGATATGAAAATTCACAGTTTGGACCGATTCACTCAGCGGTCAGTTGGTTTCATGCAAAGTAATGCAACTCCTGCAGGCTGCCTGGCAGCCTGCTGCTGCATGGCAGCCTGCTGCTGCATGGCAGCCTGCTGCTGCATGGCAGCCTGCTGCCTGGCAGCCTGCTGCTTCGCCCTCCACGTCTGACTACCTTGTAGTTCTCCAGCTCCATGCGCAGACGGTTGTTGGCTGAGAGAAGCTCGCGGTTCCTGGCCTCCAGCTGCTTCAGCTCCGTCTCCAGCTCCACCTCGTAGTCCCGACTCATCTGCTGGAACTCCTGCAGCTCCTCCTGCGCTTCCACCGCACTGAGAACACAAACACAAAACCGGCCAAAGCCTTCAGGTTGGTTTTTATGAAACAACAGGACAGACGTGGCTTTAAACTCCTCAAACACATTAATGCAGGACACATAAAGGTGTTTTCACAGTCAAAGTGTCATAATCAGAACTTATTACAAACATAAAAACCCTGACAGATTGGATATTTTTGCACAAACAAGTTAATATTTTGTGCCAAAATATATAAACATCGCAAAGTTCTCAAACCTCGTCACAATCAGAGAGGAAGAAGAGCAAAAAGTCGGCGTTCTGCCGGCAGCCATATTGTGAATGGCAAACATCATGGACACCGATAAACGCAGTAAAGGAAACTACTTTTACAAAATAAAGTGTTCGAGTTTATGTTCTGCTTCTTTGCAAAAAAAAAAAAAGTTTTCTTTAGTGTAACACAGTTGAGAAGGGTACAATATGTTTTAGGTAGATGGGCCAATAGGTTCGGCTGTCGGAGCACGATGGGTGTTTAAATGACACACATACTCAGTTGAGTGAATTTAAAAAACAATTAGCTTTAGTAACATGAATCATAAACTCACAAGTGGACAAGACATACAATTAAGAAAATAAAATTACACACAATAAAATACATGAAATAAAACAACAATATTTGGCCAAGTGCTAAATATCAAATTTAAATTATTGGGTGCACCCTGGTAGTTTGCGCTCTAATCTCTTTTAGATGACAAATTAATCAAATTAAATCCTGGTTCAGGTCTCACTCAACATGGGAGGAAATCCAGATCTTTCTAAGTCCAGGTGGGAAGGCTCGCCATCAAAGTCAGTAGAGGAATCCACTCCAGGAACAATCCAGGAGAAGAGAAGAAAAAGCAAAAAAACAAAACACACAACAAAAAAAAAAAAAAAAAAAAAACTTGATCGATCTCAGTGCGGCACGTTCAAAACAACTAGACAGGGACTCTCATTCCAGACACGGAGGGCACTTCAGTTGAACTGAAAACAACTGCCAATCAACTGCCAGAAAGTGCAACAGTTCCAACTGATCTTAGTGGTTTCTGGCTCAGCTGTCTGATCAGGGTCAGATCTCCCGCTCACAATCAACGCTGCCAACACGGGAAAGAAGGTGGAGCCTCTATGGCACTCCGCTCTCTGATTGGTCCAAACATTCATGGGAATCAAACTTCCCATTGGCCAGGCAGACCACCCCGCCTACCCAATCTCTATTTTCCAAAAGGCTATCCCCACTTTATGTGGGTTACACCAGCATCAAAAAATTTACCTTAAGGTACATTTTAAAAATATTAATTGGTTATTGTTATAATTATTGTTAAAAATAATACAAATATTAATAAAAATAGTAAAGAAAATGTGTTAGTCAACAGAAATCTATTTTTATTACTTTTTTAGACATAGTAGTAATGTTATTATAATCAAAAAATGATTTTTTGATAATAATCAGGGCTGAAACAATCAGATTAATTGTTATGAATCAATTATTGAAATAACTAATTCTGTAATCAATTAACTGCAGTATGCAGACTCAAAACAAAACATTTGCTGGATGAAAATATTCAGAGCAGCACTCAAGTTGAAACTACAAAAATAAAAACATTGGATTTAAGAACAAAGAAACATTTAAATCTTTTCTACTTAAACTTCTCAAATGGCAGTTTCACCTTCACCTGGTTCACATTCTGCCAACAAAATATTTTGATTTAAATGATCTTGAAGAAAACTGTTCTACATTACACGCAGTAAAATGTTTATTTTCATATTTAAAAAGGAACGCATGTATTTGTTTACTTGCTTTCAATACATCCTGTGGCTGTCACTAAGTTCAGACTCGGACATGACAATTTAATAAACTTGGACAAAATGAAACTAAATTGAACAAAATCCTGTTCTGGTTGCTGAAAAGACAAAATCAAATGTAGAAAAAGATAATCAATGTGAAACACAGTTTGTTGTTTTCTTTTAAATATGGAAAACCTGCAAGAGCCTTTTTTTTATTTCAACTCTAATAATTGTCTAGAGGAATCCGATTGCTTTGCTTATTTCATCAAGATATAATAATAGTTTATTACTTAACGAGCAGGTTAAAAAAAAGTGAAATGTTTTTTGTGATTACAATTATAAAGAAAAATTCTAAACGTTAGTTTGGACATTCTGGAATCAAAGAAAAAAGTAAAGTTGTATGTTTGCTGTTTCGTAGATTACGATGCTTCCAGATTAGACAAGGAACCGGTTGGACTAAAAGATAAAGAGGGAACGAACATCTGCTGGTGCCGGGCCGCCTCCTCCTTCCAGTGCTCCAGTTCTTCCTCCACGGATCCAAACTGAGGCGCTTCCTGGTCCCCCATCTCCAGCGCGGTCACGGCTCACAGCAGGCTCTTCGGTCCTGCGCCGAAACAGAAACACAGCCCTTATACTGTTGGTCAACCATTTATGGGACTGTATCCTGGAACAGCCAAAAATTTAATTTAATGCAAGCAACAGCCTTCAGACGTTACCTAATTAGTGTATAATTGAATTTCTTTAAATGTTTTATTGTTGCAAATGTTGAAATCTTTGATTAGCGTGATTCATACGTAGAAAATGTGAACGAAAGCAAATGTTCTTACAGGGCTGAAATGATTAAATTGTGCTTAATCAATTATCTAAATAATTGTCCACTAAATTCGTAATTGATTAATTGTTGACTACAGTACACAAACTCAGGAAAAAAAGGTAATTTTCAGAAAGAACGCACAGAGCACTAATTAGGCCAAACCTGTAAAGAAAAATATAGAAATTTTGCATTTAAAATATATATTTTTTTATTTTCTACCCAGAGCTGCTCTGGTGACAGTTTTAGCTTCACCTAGTTTAAACTATATTTTAAAAATAAAAAGAGAAAGAGTTGAGTTTTCAGCATGTTGGTGCTAAAGTACTGCATTTTAGACAATAAAATGTTTATATTCTTATTTTTTAAAAATTAAATTATTTTCTAATTAGCATTTTTTAAACAAAAAATCTGCAGAATGAACTCTTTTTTAAATCCAACAAATCATTTTACAATAACATTTAATTAATTTATTTAATGAAATGTGGTCATGTTGAGAAACATAATTGAAAATACATACATTTTAATCAATTATCAAAGTGTAGAGTTTTATACAGAACCATCACAAAAATATGTTTTGCTAATTTGCCAAGAAGATAAAATAAACATTTTAGAAATCAATATTAATTTGTGTAATGGAGTAAAAACGCTACAATGTATACTTTCAAACACTAAATTATGAATTAATTAGATGTGATGTAAACGTTAAAATGGGCCAATTTAGTTGAAATGAACAAAATGTTATTTTGAATACAATTTCATCTTGTTTAAATGTTTTAAGTATTAAAAGGCATTTAACTTTATATTTTTATAATCGTTATTTTCATTTTGTCCCAGTTTTTTCCCATTTTTAGATGCTAAATGTAAATGAAATACATAACTGATAATGTAATATTCTTGAATTAAACTAAATCAGATCGTTTTCCTAGTTCTGTCAACAAAAGATAATTTCATCAACTATTAATACGCGTCTATTTATTTACGGGTCAAGAAAACAAACCTGGAATGTTTTGACAACCAAACTTTCTGGAACATCTAGAACTTATTTTCATTTGAGTCCAACAAGCGGAGTTCAAACGCAAACGCTGAAAAAACGGAACCAACAGCAAACCGAGCCAAACAGAACTTCACAGCCAGCCTGCCGTTTATGGTGACTAACCCCAGCTCTCGGAGATGAGCTCACAGCGAGTTTTATCCATAAAATACTCGATAAGTAGAACAGAAAGGCTGAAGGAAACTAAAGTTACCGCTAGCTGATTCGGCTAACGGAGTTTAACCGTTTAAATCCCAGCGCAGACCAACATTTGTCCCGTTTGCCTCTCAAACTCTTCTTATCAAACTAAAACTTCACCCCGAACCTTCCAGAAAAGTCATTTTCGCTACAAACCAAGAGTTAGGCAAAACTTTCGCACAAAACGATGGAATTAGACAAATTTGAAAGGACTTGCCTTGAGTTGGAAGTCAGAAAGTTACTCGCCGCTTCGGGAAAGCGTCGAACAATAAAATTTGCCATTCATTTTGTCAACGTCAACTGGCCAATAACAAATTAGATGACGTTCTTGTTCTTTGTTGCTATTGGACGCGTTTCTGTCAATCACAGCAACTGGGCGGGCTGCAAGGGTGACAGACCAATCAGAGTGGTGGGAATAGACAGAGGGTGTTCGCATTAATTCACACAGAAATTTCAACAGATTGCCACACGGTGGTGCTGCTTTCACGTGCAGTAGGAAAACGTATAAACAGTACCTGGAAAAATGTTTGCTATGTTTCTAGAAATAAAAAAATATATATTCAAAATTAAATAAAAACAAAAGCAAAGAAGCTTAATTCCAAATAACTAAAATAGAATGACGTGCTTCATTAGAACACTCAGACATGCTTTTACATGAAATCAATCATTTATTTTGAAACATTTTGAAACAGTGTCTTCTTGATCATCACCAAAGGTAATCAATTGAATTAGTTATGGTATTAGGTTTTGATATTCCAAGGAGGTGAGTGAAAACTATTGATACTAATGGAAAATCACCCTTGCTCTTTATGGATTGAAAGTGCTTTTTGCACTGGAATAATACTTTGTTTATTATTGTTCTTGACACAGTGCTCATGTTTTCAGTCGGTTTGCATTCATTGCTGGTGGATTTTACAAATTGGATGGTATAATAAAGAACAACTTCCTCAAAATTGTTCAACTTTTCCTTAGATCAACTCCTAGATGGTTGAAACAGTAGTGCAGTTGAGTATTGATAGGATGATGATCCTAAAACATATTCAGATGGTTTTGGAATACATAAATTACGCAAATGTTAAACAGTATCAACACTATTAATCAGTGGAGAGTTTATAAGAGCAGAGCTTGTACCAGGAAATCAAGAAACTATAAAATGAGTTCAACATCTAGTTCTGGAAGCTTAGACAAATAATAGTAAGCTTACCTTGTGTGATATCCACAAAAAATTGAGACTAACTATCCAAGTCTGGCTTTAAAAAACAGAATCCTGGATTCTGATTGGAGATGTTCACTTCCTGTTGGTGGGGTCAGAGGTGAATTTGGGTCAACTGTGTCTTTTCCTGTGGGATTAGACGGGCGTATCTGATCCCAGTTAATCCACCACTCACAAATGCCAGTCCACCAGTCCTGTCTGTCCCTGCCTCATATCTGGGCTGCATGTTTTTAGCATTGAGTCAGTGGGTTACAGGCATGACCTTCACCGATAACTTTGAAAGGGAAATCTTTTAAAGGTGTTAATGAGACACTACAGTTACATGTTTTGACCTCAATGCTAACATTTGGTTAGCTTGGCTTAGCTAGTAGCGTAAAAAATAATTAGTTTCTGTTGTTCAAGGTTAGACTGCAACTATTAACATGATTTATTAGATAAATAAATATACTTTATTGATCCCAAGGGTAAATTAAATGTTGTAACTCATATTGATTCAAATTCTTCAAGAGTTATTGTAGATAGAAATCACCGCCGTAGCAGTCAGTATTACAGCGAATTTGAAGAAGATTCTGACTGAAGACACTTTGTTTTCCCAAGACAGTCTCATGAGGAGGATGGAAAGAGTTTTCCATGTCTGTTAAATTTCCTTCTCGCTCTCCTCTATTGTAGCGTCCAAAATCCTTTACTTTAGGGCTACTAGTGGTTGCCTCTGGGTGTACTTCGTTTTTACGTGCGTTCGGATTAAGTTTCAGAGTAGTGCTCTTCTTTAGTATGAAAGTCTTTTATTATAATTTCCATTTACATACATAAAGTTCGTTTCTACCCGTCAAACCAAACACAGTAAAAAAAACTGTGTCCTCTTCCCAATGGTCAACACCTGAACACCATTACAATCGACCTTAAATAACCCATCCCCCTCACACTCAGAGAACAAAACAATACGCCCTCTGGTGGTGACAACAATTGGCTCCTACATCTATACTTTCTTGCAAAATGATAATACAGGAATTGTGATTCTGAATTTGGATTTCTAAAAAAAACTAGTAACTATCTACTATTATAATACACTTACTGTATATTTTATTAATATATTTAAGTTGTACTTTTTTAAAAAAAATATTCCAGATGAGTTTCTACTATATATATATATTTGTATATATTTAAATATTTATGTACTTTTATTTGGATTTTCTAACTTTGTGCAGTCAGTCAGTCAATGACAGTAAAACCTTCTGAAGACATAAACAGTAACCATGGTTATTGCATAACTGGGATGTTCACAAGCAGAACAGCTGACGGGGAAGTCGGCCTGTCCTGGAAAACGAGCCGCTTGTCGACAGTTTTAACTTGTCACAGGATCAAGTCACCGTCTTGACAATCTGCTTCCAGGTGGCTTAGCTCTGACACGATTTCATCAAATCTCTTTGTGGTTGAAGTCGTGACATAACACTGGAGCTGTTTGACCGGTTTATTGGTTACAGTTTCCCTTTATTATGAAAAGGAGACAATGAGACAAAAAACTAAGAAAAACCCGTCCAATTTTTGCATGTTTTCCTTTCTGCTAGAATTCAGCAACAGAAAACAGTGTTAGATTGTGGCTCAGGTAAGAACACAATGAGGTATACGGGCTGATGGCAACCAATCAGACGGTTCAAGTAATAAGGTAGCAGGTTCAGATTTCTACAGAAATAACAGGGAATCCAGTGTTGTAACTGATAAATTTGTAATTTACATTATAAATAATGGTAAATTACCTTTTTGCTTTTTTTTTTACTTCAAATTGGACAGTTAGTTCACAAAGTTTTCAGCTTTTATCAGAAATATGTGTGAAAACTCACAGTTTAGTGTATAAATAAGTAGTTACATAAAATTAAAGGAAGTTTAATGGGCTAAAAGTCAAAATAAATAAATAAAGATATTGGGTCTCATTTGGTATTAGGATTATCTTTATACCTTCTACAAATATAGCAATATAAACTGTTTGTTTTATAACACTGAACAGGTTGTAACACACTGAATGCATCTAAATGACTTTATACAATGACCCTAATACACTGGATTTAATTGACTATATCTTTCTGTTTTGGAAGCAAAGCACTTTTAAATAATATTTGTTGTGAACCAGAAATGTATGAATAACAAACAGAACAAACACTCTCACCCAAGGGCAATTAAGAAACACCAATTAACCTGTAAGTGATGAAAGCACGTTTTGATGATGAGGAGGATCTGAAAAAATAAAAATTAAAAATAAAAATAAACACCTTCGGTAAAATAATTAGGAAAGAATGACAGAAACATGAGACAAATATGGAGCTAAATTGGGGCAATAAAGATTGAAAAAAATGTTTTAAACAAAAATAAAAATTTTTTGACAAAAAGCAGATTTGAAACTAAAAAAAAATAATAATCTGGAAAGTAGTTATAAATTTCTTTTTACTTTCAAATTTTATTTTTCTTTATTCGAAACTTTTTTCAGTTTCAAATCTTATTTTTTGTTCCTTTGTGTCAAATATTTTGTCTTTTGACGAAACTTTATGGCACCAATTTAGCTCCGTTTAGGGAGTCCTGCATGAATATATGGTCAGGGGTGCTGATTTACTCATAAACCTAGATTAATTATCACATATCTCTTTTATTGTAAGTGAATTTGATGTTTTATTTGGCTGTTCTATGTTTTAGGTTTTTATACACCTGGTTGGTTTAGATCTTCAACAGTTTTTCAAATCCACATTCATCCTTCATGACCTGTAAACTGCTTTATTCAATAATTATTAACAGATAATCTCCCAATCTCCATATTTCCCAGATAAAAAACACATTTTCAAGCATTAAGTTTGTGATCCATGACACAAATTAGAACTCAATCACATGTTTGATGGATTACTGCAGGTTATGTCAGTGGCTTAGCTCTGACATAGGCACAGCTGGTGAAAAACTTAAGTTATGAAGCCTTAGAGTTTTAATTGCGTTTTTAAATTCTGCTTTTGGTTCCCTAGCAGTAAAGTCCAATTATTAGACTAAAACATAATTTCTGAATCAAAGCATTTTCCCTCATTTGGTCTAAATTAAATCTACTTATGGATTTTTCTGGCTGTACTATAATAATACTGCCATTTGTCTTTGTTTTTTTTAGCTGCCTGACACCAACTTTACTCAATAAACAATTTTATTTCTCAACATTGCAGCGGCTGTGTCAGTCCATAAATGGGTACTTCAATAACTTCTTGGCGTTTAATAAACTGAAGTCTTTTCTCAGACATTTCCTGCCTGATTTGTTGCTGCATTTGAGACAAATACAGATGAAAAAATTTAGTTTTCCCTCTGAATTTTATGCCTCTTCCGGGCGAGCCGAGCCTCACGCATCTCCTCCAGAGTTTTCCGGGGGTCCATGATGAAGGCCAGGGCCACGGTGGCGGTGCCGTCACCGTCCTGCCGAGAGAAACACAGGAAGGAGGCCCAGAGGAAGGCGCAGCAGCCCATGAAGGCGGTCCGCATGTGCAGCGGCATCAGCACAAAGTTCAGAAACTGGAGACACCATTTACAGGAGAAAAGAGTTAATAAAGGTTTAAAGTGATTTACTTTTTAGGTTTATCACTATTGAGCTGATAAGAACTAAGATTGTACTGAGTTAACCTTCAATTAAAGATTTTTCAATATTTGACTGAGCTCAGCTGGTGATGAAGTTAAAGTTTCTGCATTGTGATTGTTGAAGTGATTAAATTAGGAGTAGCACCACTTTAACATATTACTACTTAAGTAAAAATACATTTGTGAAAAAACAAAGAAAAAGTGAAAAAGTATTTGGTAAAAAAGCTTCAAGTAACTGAGCAGAACCTCTGACTTACTTAATGAAGGTTTAAAATTGTTGTTAATATTTATCTTTATTGTGTAAGAATTACCATTTTTAGGTTCAGCTAATAAAAACAAGGATTTTATGGTATTAACCTTAACACAATAACCACAATTAAATTCAATATTTGTTTTTTCAAAGCAAACCCAGGAAGTGAAAAGCTGTAAAATATATAAAATACTCTGGATCACGACTGTCGGTCAGTAGAAGAGAGTAAAGTACCCAGAACTACAGGAAGAGTAGCACTACTTCAATATACTACACTCAAGCAAAAAAACAAAAAACAAAAAGTATTTGGCAAATTAAAAACTGATCATAACATCTAAAAGAATGTAATAAAATATAAAATAATTAGCAACAGAGACGGTTTTTCAAAGTGTTTTTATATAAAACTTAGACAATTTAAACTACTAAATACATATAAATAAATAAACTTAAATCATTTCCTATGCAGCTGATTTCTGAATTAACAGAACAAAATAAAATGTAGCATCTTAATAGTTACCTGCATAAAGGGCCAGTACATGAGTCCAGTCTGGGAAAAAATGGTAAAAATTCTTATAAATGAAAATCTTGCAACAATCTCAGTTGATACAATTTCTGGTCAAATATTTTTTATTTAATAAAAACACAAGAGAAACTGAGTGAAGGCCATATTATAGAAAAGTTATAAAATTGTTGATTTTTTTTTTTATTTCTCTGTAAATTTATTTTAAGAAAAGATAAAGGGAAAATTAGATAATTAATTCCAGCTTTTGGAAATTTGCTGCAACTGAAATCAACTATGTTATCTCATCTATTTGGATTATTATCATTTTATTATTATTTATTTTTAATTTGTTTATTTCTTGTTTAATCATTTGTCTACCTGCGATGTTGTGAAGTTTGTGGTCAGCTGAGGTTTCTCTAAATGTGCTAAAAAAAGAAGCTTTGATTTTACCTCACTAAAGTCAGAAGTTTACATACAAAAAACCAACCGGCCAATCAGAGAGGAAGAAGCCAAAACCCAAAACATTTGACCCAATTCATGCAGTTTAAAAGCATTGCTAGCAAAACCTGAGGACATTTGTAAACTACTGGCTTTCTGATCAGTTTATTAGTTTTTGTTTTTATAGATTTTTACATGATCAGCAGCGAAACGAAGTGCTGCTGTCCTGGATTATATAACTGCATGCTAACAGGTCGCTAATCTGCGGCAGGATTTCTCTTCCTACTGACATTATTATCCGCCGCCTGGTTTTCCCTGCACACTGAGCATCACTAGCGGCACACGGGGCGATGTAGGTTAATCTGGCTGCCGGCTGCTAGAGATGTGACCATGTGAGGAAGAGGAGGAGGAAGAGGAAGGTGACTTTCTCATATTTTACCCTCCAGGTGTTAAAGAATTTCTCCCTCCAGTCTTCAAGGATGTCTTCCCTTCCTTCCAGAAAACTCACACCTGCAGGCAAAAAAAAAGTTTAGATTACAGCCAATATGTAAAATAAATGTAAAACTTTTTCATGCCAAACTCCAGTTCACTCAGAAATTGTTAGATTTATCTCAGGAATTAAAAAAAAATTTCCCAGCAAATTTATGACTTTTGAAATTCAGAAATGTTCTTGTTTTTTGTTTTGTTTTGTTTTTTAAGAAAATCCATATTTCAAAAGATGAAATCTTCAAAAACCAAAAATTTGATGAGAAGAGAAGCTGGCTTCAAGTAAATCAATGGGAAGTTTAGTGGAAGGAAAAAAACTGTGGTAGAAAATGGTGAATAAGCAACAAAGCTCCAAGTTTGAAAGAGGATTATGAAACAAAATCTATTCAAGATGTTGAGGGAGCATTAGAAGGTGTTGACTGCACATGCAGATGGGTCCAGGATCGTCTGGGCTGAGGAGAACCAGAACCGGACCAACGCAGTTATGTACCTCTCTGTGTGTTATTAATATATTTAACACAGAAGTTTAATTTTTTATAGTTTTATTACAGGAATAAACTGGACTTAAAAGCATTATTCTACACACAATCCAATCTGTCCCTGATTTCTTCCTTACTTAACTTTCCATTATGTAATTTGATTCAGCATTTCCATGGATTAAACTAACGTGTTTTAGACGTTTGGTAAAACATAAGTGTTAGGGTTTCATAATTAGTTATGTCGTAGAACTTTTCTGAAAAAGTGAATTTGGGATTTTTTTGGTCCATAATGATTAAAACGTTACACAAACACACACACACACACGCACACACACGCACACGCACACCCCCGGCCCCCCACACACACAAACAAAAAACACTGTTGAAATGTGTTTCTCTTAGTGTTATTAATACATCTAACATAAGTTTCAGTTTGTAAAGTTGAATTACAGAAATAAACTGTAACCTTGAAACATGAATCCAATCTGACCATGATTTCTTCCTTCCACTTAACTTTCCAACTAATCCATAGGTTAACCTCCTTGCATTACCTAACATTTATGTTTTAAAAACCTTTTCATTAGTAGTAATGGTCTTATGTTGTACACCTTTTATGGAAAAGAGGATTTGTGATTTCCTGTCAGTTACTTTTCATAATCTCTTCCTGATTTCTTCCTTCCACTTGACTTTCCAACTAACCCAACTTCTTCTGTGGGTTAATTTCTTTGCATTATTTTTATATTATTGGTCTTAAATAATGTAATACTTTTTGAATAAAAAGGTCCAAGATATATCAGTTTGGGCGCAATTTGCTGTCTGTAAAACATACTTTTCTGTTTCTGTTAATCAAATTGCCGTAATAGCCTAACTAATATTTTCCATCATGCTCTGATTGATTCGCCTGTTCCTCACCTGTGTAGAAGACGCTGGTGGCCAAAGGTGACGCAAAGCTTTGGTCCAGCAGCAGTTTGCGGAAAACCATCCCTGCGGATTTTCCGGGGAAGCGTTTCTCCAGAGCGCGCAGCCAGAAGTAGTTAAAGTTTCCCTGGAAGGTGATGGCCACGATGGCCACGTTGCGGGTGTGTTTCCAGTCGATGCGCTCTCTGTGCGCAATCAGCTGATGCGCCAAATCCCCGCCGGCGAACAGGCAGCCGTACAGGGTGACGTTGGCCAGCCAGGGGAAGCGCTTTGCGGCTTCTTTCAGAACAGCTTTCCTCATTTTGGCGCTCTCTTGCCAGACTCAGTTCGGTAAAAAAGGCGCAAACATAGCGGCAGAATTCATCCAGTTTACATACCGTGGCGTCCCCGGTGACGGTCAGGACGCCATCCATCAGTGCGCGGAAATCTCCGAGGATTACAGCCCAGGTTTCCACCGGAAGCAGGAATATCATTCATTATAAACTGGTGGTAAACTCAGATTTCTGTTAACTGCGCATCTTCTGCATAATTCAGACGGAATATCTGCAAAAAATCCGCCATGAAAGCCTCATATGGAGATATTACAACCGTAGCTGCATGAATTAAACTCCTAAAAGCCACTGAAATATTTTTCCTCACTGTTTCCAGGGAGATGAAATCAATCTACATCAGCGTTGGTTCATCTCTGACCGCTTCCGGTCGAGTCAGGTGCACAAATCCTGTGGATCAAGCTGTAATCTGAGGGATTGTCCCGGTCCATTCAGGGACGCGCCTAACTGCGTCACTGGGATCAGTTTGCGCAGCTTTGAGCGCCTATTGGTGGTCAAATCAGAGGCACATCAACCTTCAAATGATATGTTTTAAAATATATATTAAGAAATTTAGGCTGCTGCAAACAATTATTTTAATGATCGGATCAAAAATTTTCTTTCATCAGATTTTTCATTTAAAAACTTAAGCTTATTTTGTTGAATATTAGAAATACATAACATGCAAATAAACAAATAATTTAACTCAATTTAAAAAAAAGTACATATTTACAAACAAAAAAAGTTTGTTTTTTCCATCTTAAAAGCAAAATTCACATGCTTTTCTACAGTCTTGGCTTGTTGTTCTTTAATCAAATTTCATGTTTCAGTCTGGATGCTCTCATGAAATAAGTAATTACTAATTTGGTTGATTATTATTTCAGTATAATAAAAAATCACAAATAATCAGTTATTGTTGGATGAGTGGAGGAATAGAAATGCACAACTGACCCTCCAAATGTTTGACAGATACTTTTTTATGTTTTGATTGATAGAGGGAATTTAAAGTTGAAAAACATTCACCGTGAACCGCTAGAGGGCGCTGGCTGCCACTCAATCCCAGCTGTGCTTTCAGGAAGTTTTTGTCTTCCTGCCCAAGTTTAATCTATTTCCTGCTCGTTGCTTCAAAGCAAACATAAATTTTACAAACATAATTAATTGATTGGTTGGTAGATCGTGCAAATTTTAAAAACAATACTTTTACTATATTGTTTACTTTTACATTTTTGTATTTTTACTGCAATTTTACAAGATATTTTATCAAACTAAACTCAACTAATGAGGTTTTATATTGGTACATACTCACTGTTATGACCCAATAATGGCCATTAAAAAGTCAAAACCAGTTTATCCCGCCTAAATATGTGATTAAAACACTTTTTAAATTACCCTTTAAGTATATGTAATTAAACAACCCCAAACAATATTAATATTAATTTAAAAACCTTATCGAAAATAACTTTGGCCTTTTATCAACTTATTTCATCAGCTCCAGTTTACTCACAGGGACCGTTTCTTTAAGGCGGGCAGAACTCACCATCTCGTACTCTCATTGGCTAGAATTTCGGTCACTGTAAAGGATCTAGTTTCTGATTGGCTGACTCTCTGAAAGCCTCGGAAGTGTCATTTTTGGACTTGGGCTAAACTTGGGCATATGTGGAGCATCGGCGGCTCCGAGCTGATCGTTGACAGTTAGGATTAAATGGCGGGCAGAAAACAGTGAAACAGGTTTGTGTTGATTTTCTCTGGGTTTCAGAATGGCGTGTTTCTCCGCAGCTGTTGTTTTCCTGCGGGCTTAATGGAGCTGCTGTGTCTCAGCCATGAGCCGAGTTTCATTGTCTTTTTGACCAAAACAAGCTAGCCTGATCTAACCTGGCGACTGACCGAATGTTCTGTCAAAGAGGCTTTATTATTATTCTGCAGCATAGATTTAGAATAAAATGCTTTCTCTTAATCTCATTTGGAGGTGAAACATCTCAACTTTTCAGCGAGCACGGCGCGGAAGTTCGTTTGTGTTTCGGAGCTTCCGATTGAATAAAGGGCCATTTCACCGTTTTAAAGAAAATGAAACAGCTGTAGTTCAAAGGTCAAATATGAACTCTATTATTGCACGTTGAATTTATGTTCAGTGAACCGAAACAAAGCTATTATTATGCTGTGGACGTTCAAAATGAGCAATTTCTCTGCTTTTATAGCTGTTTAGAGCAGAATTTACAGGATGCTTGGAAATTAGTGCTGAGACTGATCACACATTGACTGAGTTATTCTGAGTTATAGATTACCTTTAAGTGAATTTGGTGACTTGTAAATTGTCTCAGAATAACAGTTTTCAGTGTGAATATAATAAGTTTTGTATGTTTCTAGTTTGACTCATAAGCAAGTTGGTTTTCTACATGGATAGCAATAATACTGTATCGATTGCAGTATAATAATGGCTTGATAATAAAAAAAACAAGTGTTGAATAATCCAGTCGTTATTTGACTATTCGAAGTATTTCATATTTTGAAGGGTGTTTTAGGATTTTCCTTAAATCAGGATCAGATACAAAATTTCCCTCAAGTGTGATTCAGATGCTAACTTCAGATCCTCGCATCGTGTTTTTCCATCACAGCTTAAAAAATAGTGCATTTATTTAAGACTAATTTTGTTACTAAGTGAACAGATTGTGTGCCGAATTTTTATAAACACATTATTTATTTAAAATAATTATTAATTGTGTTAGTATAGGGAGCCATTATTTGCTGAGAGTGGTGCAAAATTAAAAATGCCCAATTTTCTAATGGAATTTTGTTCTCTCCGTTTAAGAAAATGCACCTTTTGAGGTTTACATGAGATAAATGAGGTGCTATTGAGCTTTAATGTCCTGATCTGAGCCTGGTGGATGGAGGGTTAACTTCACAAATAACTACAGAAAGAAGGAAGTCATTCTGATCAAGTTTAGACATGTTCTCGTGTTATAGTTTCGTCATTTCTGTGCTCTAATAATAATTGTGAGAGTTTGCAGCAGAGTGCTTCTCATAACTCTCCTGTTAGTCAGAGCTGATGCATTTTGTTAAAGTCATGCAGGAGCTGCAGAAAAGACACAACAATAGCAGATAAATGATGAAAGCCATGAAACGGTGCAGACTGACCTAACTAATATGCTGAAAATTTACTCCATTTACTTCAACAGCATGAAATAGAAACCTTTCTCAACTTGTTTCTTGTCATCTTTGCATCACGAACACAAATAAAAGATGTTCTGTTAAATGAAAACAAGCCTGAGTTTCCCCTGGAAGGAGGATTTCTAAGCAGACAAAGAGAGGAGCAGCACATTGTGCAGAGGGTGTATAATTTCAGCTCTTGTTCCTCTGAACGCACTCTATCAGGAGAAAGAAGCGACAGAACAGTAGTGGGTGTTGTTTATGTCAAAGCCACTGAGCGGGTGCATGCCTGCATATTTCTTTAACCCCATATTTGCATTCATATGAATGTAAACACAGATACTGTGCGAGCTTATTCAAATGCATCTGAGACAGTCCATTTAGCTTGATTTAGGGACACATTTTTAAAATATTGCAAATAAAAACACCTAGCTCCTGCTAGCGCTAGGCTAGTATGTCTCTGATCTGCTTGGCGTTCACATAGGGATTCGAACCGAACCAGAGTTAACTTCAACCGAACTCAGACCGAGGTCCATTACACATTCACAGCTCCCCAAACACACCTTTCTAGACAAGCGAACTGCAGTTTGATTAAATCAGATTAAACAGGACCGGTGTGAATGCATCCTTGTGAAATCTCATTCTTTTGGTCACAACCCAAAGCCCTTGCATTTAAATGAAGGAGGAATGCAGATCAGTCTGTAAATCAGGAGCTACGCCTTTTGGTTCAGATCTCTCTTATCACAATAAACGGGTTCAAACGCCACAGCAATCCATCGATCAACCTCCTGCTCCAGGTTCCTGAGACACTTAAACTCCTCCGATTTGGGCAGCACAATTCTAACAAAGGAAGAGTTTTTTGCATCCAAGAGTTGATTCAGTCATGATTGATAGGACGTGTTGGTCAACTGCGACGTTTTGATCAGAGAAACTCCATCCATGATCTCCTGATGGACATTCAGATTTCATCTGTTTGATGCTGATTGGTTGGACCATTTTCAGCTGGTTTTGAAAATGCATGAATGACACGTTTTACAGGAGACTTTTCAGACTTTAAAAGGTGAAGTTCGATGCTGCCTGGCGACTTCCTCTTCAGACGCTGTACAGGAAGCGCAGCCGACCGCAGTGCAGCGCCAGGCGGAGTCGCTGCTTTCACTTCTGATGATGTAAAATCATCAGGAGAGACGATGAAACGGTTTAAAACTGCAACCGGTGGCTTTCCATCAATGTTCAATACCGTCAATTCATTAAGAGATTTTTGCCTGTTGATGGTTTAAAATCAAGTTTGATTGAGTTTCTGCAGGAATATTTTTTACATTTTTCAGCATATTTTCTTGAGAAACATCAAAGATGTTGTCAGGCTGCCTTCCTGTTCACAATGCTGAGTAATTCTCCCTGATTTTTCAGCTCTGACAGTTATTGACGTTACTTTGTTCCATGTTTTATCATTTTCTGCACAGCCTGTAACTTTGGCATTAACACGAAGCCAAAATAACCAAATAGATTATTTCTGTGACCTTTGATAATGATTCAAAGTTCACAGGAAGCTCTTCATTAACCGACTTTCAGTCTGCAAACTGAAGTCCAGACTGGAAAGGTTTGTTGTGTAAATTTTTCATGGTGATTTTAGCGGTTGTTGCATAAATACCTCCTGAAAAGGGTTTTAAGCGGCTGGTTGGTTTGTAGTAGCCAAGTGAAGCAGGAAGTGGTTTTGTTGTTGGTACAAACGAGTCAAAATGTTCTGCAGGTTGTTTTTCTCTGTTGAATGATGCAGGTCATTAAGATTCAGATTAAAGACTCAGGATAAGATTTAAAAGATGTTTTTCATCTCCATAGCAGCAAAACCAGCATTTCCACAAGAAGAGAAGAGTTTTACTGCAGAAGAAAATCCCTGAGTTCACTGACTGAATCGCTGGATGGATGGATGGATGGATGGATGGATGGATGGATGGATGGATGGATGGATGGATGGATGGATGGATGGATGGATGGATGGATGGATGGTTGGATGGATGGATGGTTGGATGGATGGTTGGATGGATGGATGGCTGGTTGGTTGGTTGGTTGGATGGATGGCTGGTTGGTTGGTTGGTTGGTTGGATGGATGGATGGATGGATGGATGGCTGGTTGGTTGGTTGGTTGGTTGGATGGATGGATGGATGGATGGATGGATGGATGGATGGATGGATGGATGGATGGATGGTTGGTTGGTTGGATGGATGGATGGATGGATGGATGGTTGG